AAATTTCTCTGCGTGGAATATGAAAATTATCTGGGATGTATTGAAAAGACACTATATTCTCGCCCTGCATGATGTCAGCAATTGTTAATTTATCGACATTGGGCCAGTTTTTAAAAGATAAGTCTTCAATAATGGTTTCAACTATATCAAGTCTACAAGTCTTTGGGATAAGATTGTTAAACCCTAATTTTTTCTTAATTTCCAACCGGTCATCTAGGGTTTGTGTCAGTCATTGGATTTGTTAAGGAGGAATTAATAAGAGAATCCCTAGTGACTGTCCACATAGAATATTGGAATTTATCGATGTGAGCTACATCCAACTCGATTATAAACCATGGTTCAATGGCCTGTTTGGGGTCTTGAAGTGTATATATGTGTCTAATAATATTTGCATAATATCGATCAACAATGCTTGGGAAAATTTAAGCCCCCATAATTTTTTTGCTAAGATTTTCTGACTTATTCTTGGTTTTTTATGATTCCAAATAAAATTATTCATGCTTGACTGAATTAGAGCTAACCACGGGTTGGAAACCTTAAAGGGACACCATAGGCACTGTATCTGCTTCATATCATTAAACTGGTTATAGTGTCTGGAGTCCCCTGGTACCATAATTTCTTTCATCATTAAACCGTTTTTAATGTTTTAATTCTAAACAAGAGTCCCCGGCAGTCCATCCCATCTGTGCAGCTTTGGCTAATAAGGAAGTATTAGCCTGAGCAGCAATGGACAGCTGTGATTGGCTGAGAGTGTCAGCTGACTGATTTCAGCCTGTCAGAGTCCCAACTGACGGTATGAATGGGTATGACAACAAGGAAGTGTGTAATATCTGCCTTAGCTACACATACAGAAGGGGCTGGACTGTAGGTGCCCAGGGACTCTTATGTTGTGGCATACTGCACGAACATGTTGCAACACTGAGTGGAGGGACAGTGCCAGGGCAATCCAGGCCCTATAACCAATTCAAAGAAATTATTTATTTTACCCTGCCAGGATGTTTCCAGATTTTTCCATTTTTTTTAAGATTAAAGGACCACTCTAGGCACCCAGACCACTTCAGCTTAATGAAGTGGTCTGGGTGCCAGGTCCTTCTAGGGTTAACCCATTTTTTTATAAACATAGCAGTTTCAGAGAAACTGCTGTGTTTATGAATGGGTTAAGCCTTCCCCCTAATCCTCTAGTGGCTGTCTCATTGACAGCCACTAGAGGCGCTTGCGTGCTTCTCACTGTGATTTTCACAGTGAGAGCACGCAAGCGTCCATAGGAAAGCATTGTAAATGCTTTCCTATGCGACGGGCTGAATGCGCGCGCAGCTCTTGCCGCGCGTGCGCATTCAGCCCAGGAGGAGGAACAGAGGAGGAGAGCTCTCCGCCCAGCGCTCGAAAAAGTTAAGTGTTTAACCCTTTCCCCCTTCCAGAGCCGGGCGGGAGGGGGTCCCTGAGGGTGGGGGCACCCTCAGGGCACTATAGTGCCAGGAAAACGAGTATGTTTTCCTGGCACTATAGTGGTCCTTTAATAGTTCTCAAGAGTCCAGACATTTCTCTCTATAGTACAGGAGACAGCTGGTATTACTAAACCCAGATACATTATTTCTTTGTCTATCCATATGAATTTATGTGTGTGATAGTGTTTACTTGATCATTAGTCATATTTACATACAAAGCTGTGGATTTAGAGATGTTCAGCTTAAAATTTGAAATATTAGAACATTTCTCAATTTCATACATTAAAGGAGATAGAGATCTCGGGAGATGTAAGGGTAATTAACGCATCATCTGCATATAGTAATATTTTAATTTCAGCAGATTTCGTATGGACACCTTTTAATCAGATAATTATTCCTGATATTTATTGCCAAGGGCTCAAGAGATAAAATATACAATAAATGGGAAAGGGGACACCCTTGGCGCGTGCCATTTTTAGGTTCAAACCAGCCCGCAGTTATATTCGGGCCTACAGTTCTAGCAGAGGGAGAAGAATATAAAGCTAATATCGCATTGTAGATCCACCCTGTAAAGCCAAAAGCATTTAAGACTTCACTGAGGTAACCCCACCCGACCCTGTCGAATGCTTTTTTGGCATCTAAAGTCAGGGCCAGGAGTGGGAACCCTTCTTTATTAGTGAGATCTAAAATATCTATTATACTTTGGGAGTTGTTGGAAGCTAATCTACCAGGGATAAACCCTATTTGGTCAGGATGAATTAGCTTAGATATTACGGTCTTAACTCTTTCAGCAACAATGGCAGAGTATATCTTCAAATCAACATTAAGGTTATTGGTCTATAGCTACTGGGATCTGTGTTTAATTTTATTTTGTTTAAGTATCGGAATAAGATTTGATTGTAATAATTTGTCTGGAAAGAGTTGATTTAATGCATTGTAGTGTTTGTGTAGTGTGTGTGTGTGTATAGTGAATGTAGTGTGTGGCCAAAGTTAGCGTTCATATTTGTTTTTGTGTGAAAAAATAAAAAAACTAATATTTGGCCAGTGTTTGTGACTAAGTGGTTACTAACAATGACTGGACATACCTCATTTGCAATACCTTGGGTTGTCTACTTTTGCAAATGGTATGCCATCATGGGGGTAATTCTCATTCCTGGGCTACCATACGGTCTCAAAGGCAACGTAACCAATCTGGCAAATTTCAATGTGAAAAAAATGAAATGCAAGCCTTATTTGCCTCTCTAACTTTCCAAAACACCATAAAACCTGTACATAGGGGTACTGTTATACTTGGGAGACTTCACTGAACACAAAAATAAGTGTTTCAAAACAGTAAAACATATTACAACAATAATATAGTCAGTAAAAGTGCCGTTCATGTGTGAAAAATGCAAAAAACTTCACTTTTACTAAATATATAATCGTAATACAAGTTACCATTTTGAAACACTAATATTTGTGTTCAGCGAAGTCTCTGGAGTAAAACAGTACCCCCCATGTACAGGTTTTATGGTGTCTTGGAAAGATACAGGGTTAAATATAGTCCGTGCAAATGAAATTCTCTGAACTTTCGGCCTGGGTTGTCAGGCACGTCAATCAAATTTTAATTAATGAAATCACATAATTATGTTAAAAGATTACTTAAAGGAACACTATAGTCACCTAAATTATTTTAGCTAAAGCTGTTTTAGTGTATAGATCATTCCCCTGCTCAATTCACTGCCATTTAGGAGTTAAATCACTTTGTTTCTGTTTATGCAGCCCTAGCCACACCTCCCCTGGCTATGATTGATAGAGCCTGCATGGAAAAAAAAAAACTGGTTTCACTTTCAAACAGATGTAATTGTATCTCAATCTCTAAATTGAACTTTAATCACATACAGGAGGCTCTTGCAGGGTCTAGCAAGCTAATAACATAGCAGGGGATAAGAAAATCTTAATTAAACAGAACTTGCAATAAAGAAAGCCTAAATAGGGCTCTCTTTACAGGAAGTGTTTATGGAAGGCTGTGCAAGTCACATCCAGGGAGGTGTGACTAGGGTTCATAAACAAAGGGATTTAACTCCTAAATGGCAGAGAATTGAGCAGTGAGACTGCAGGGGCATGTTCTATACACCAAAACTGCTTCATTAAGCTAAAGTTGTTCATGTGACTATAGTGTACCTTTAAATATACACGCAGAATTTTAATATATACATATATATGTATTTAAATTCTATGTGTATACTTATGTAGTTATTTATGTAAATATATATATGCAATTATTTGTAATATATAGATATATATGTCATTCTAAGTGTATTTTGTTACATATATATTAATAACAAAATAGTTAGAATGAGATTACATATGTATATAATTTATTTTAATTTTAAATTTTTTTATTTATATTTGATTTATTATTGTAATTATACGTGTATATATACATACATAAAATATATATTTATTATATATATCTTGTATATATGTAATGTCATTCTAAGTGTATTTAAATAATATATGTACTTATATTAACATTAAAATACATTACATATGTTATATATATATATATATACACACACACACACACACACACACACACACACACACACACACACACACCTCTCAAAAATACAAGTAGCTCCTGCATTCACGCTCCAATGTCCCTTAAAGGACCACTCTAGGCACCCAGACCACTTCAGCTTAATGAAGTGGTCTGGGTGCCAGGTCCAGCTAGGGTTAACCCATTTTTTCATAAACATAGCAGTTTCAGAGAAACTGCTATGTTTATGAATGGGTTAAGCCTTCCCCTAATCCTCTAGTGGCTGTCTCATTGACAGCCACTAGAGGCGCTTGCGTGCTTCTCACTGTGATTTTCACAGTGAGAGCACGCCAGCGTCCATAGGAAAGCATTATGAATGCTTTCCTATGTGACCGGCTGAATGCGCGCGCAGCTCTTGCCGCGCGTGCGCATTCAGCCGACAGGGCGGAGAGGAGGAGGATCGGAGGAGGAGAGCTCCCTGCCCAGCTCTGGAAAAAGGTACGTTTTAACCCCTTTCCCCCTTCCAGAGCCGGGCGGGAGGGGGTCCCTGAGGGTGGGGGAACCCTCAGGGCACTATAGTGCCAGGAAAATGAGTGTGTTTTCCTGGCACTATAGTGGTCCTTTAATGGCCGGGTGCCAACCAAAGACAGCTTCAATATCCAGGAAAATCCAAATGTATGGCTGCACTCACGGTTTAAAAGTCCAAAGTTTAATGAAAAAACGGTTTAAAACATCAAGTGATCAACGTTTCAGTCATATAAGACTTTGATCAGGAACATGATCCTGATGAAAGTCTTATGTGACTGAAACGTTGATCACTTGATGTTTTAAACCGTCTTTTCATTAAACTTTGGACTTTTAAACCATGAGTGCAGCCATACATTTGGATATATATATATATATATATATATATATATATACACATACACACATACACACATACACACACACACACACACGACAAGAGGCAAGCACTCACGGTCTTTTGGTATCTTGAAAACGATCTTCCTTTTATTTCATTGGTTAAAACTTGATCGACGTTTCAGCCACACTGTATGGCTTTTATCAGGATCTCCACAGCTCAAATGAGCTGTGGAGATCCTGATGAAAGCCATGTAGTGTGGCTGAAACGTCGATCAAGTTTTAACCAACGAAATAAAAGGAAGATCGTTTTCAAGATACCAAAAGACCGTGAGTGCTTGCCTCTTGTTCCCTATATTTGTGTATATTATGGCATTGGCTTGACAGCACCAGGCATAAAAGCTACATTGAAGTGTGTGTGCAAGGAGATAACAGGACTTTTATTTTTATATATATATTTAATTTATTTTAACATGTTTATTTTTTTTTTTTTTTTTAATACTCCCCACCTGCAGGGGGACTGTCTGACATTTCAGACAGTCCCCCTGCTGGCAGATCCACAGCCAGCTATAGGGGGCCTTGTGAGCGATCACATGGCCCCCAGGGGGCCTGATTTGCCGGGGGAGGGCTGCCTGGGCTGTCAGGCAGTCCTTCCGAAGAGGATCGCTGCAGAGGTGAGTAGCTGGAGGCTCCTGGGGCTGCAAGCCGTTACAGCGTTCTATGCCGCCGCAACGGCTTTAAAGGACCACTATAGTGCCCTGAGGGTGCCCCCTCCCACCGGGCTCTGGGGAGAGGAAGGGGTTAAAATCTTACCTTTCTCCAGCGCCGGGCGGGGAGCTCTCCTCCTCCATAGCGAAATTAAGCTGAAGTGGTCTGGGTGCCTATAGTGGTCCTTTAAAGCCCATTTAAATGGGGACAGAATAGAACACCGAAACGGCGTTAAGGGTTTAATGTAGTTCTGGTGTCTATTCCTCCAGGCCTTTTGCTTTAAACACTGCCTTTTTAGAAAAAAGGCAGTGTTTATATTGCTCTTTAGGGACACCTTCCATGGCAGTCACTCAGACTGCAAATAGAGGTGCTTCCTCGATTGTGCAGCACTGACGTTCAGCTTCTCCACACTTTGCATGGAGGCGATGAACTTTCTCCATGGAGATGCTTTGATTCAATGCATCTCTAAGGAGATGCTGATTGGCCAGCACAACGTTTGTCACCGCCCCAAGTCCTTGGCTGAGATGATCAATTTTGATGTCAGCCAACGAGGCGGATCAGGGGTGGGGCCAAATATTTGGTGAGTTTTAACAATTTTTAAGGGGGGTCAGGGGTCTAAACTGCATTTATAACACTATTATCAGGCATACACTTTGTATTCCTGACCCTATAGTGTTCCTTTAAGGTCCTTTTCTGCACTTTGTATGTTTATTTTATAACGTATTACTGCAAAAGGTACATTATCTTTGCAGACACAAATCCAGTTGACTTGGATTAGTGAAATTCATTTACCAAAAATGTAAATCTAGCTTGAATATACAGCTTCATGTTACTTAACCAAGCCATTTTTAATACTGAATAATCTTTGGACTAGGGATTAATTGGTATTACTTTTTAAGGGCTGATACCAATTCTGTAATTTTGGGCAGATAGCCAATAACTTTTACCTGGTATTCTGTTCATTACAATTTTGAAAAAAGAAACACAATTTCTACACAAATCTGCCACAAAAAAACTAAACATGTTTATTATTATTTTTTTTATTTTATTTTTATATATCTTCCTTTTATTGAGTGGTAAATGCAGAAAATATACATGCCAGTTGGATTTTTTTTTTAAAGAATATTTGTGTGTTGTGGCCCCATATTTAAAACAAAACACATCATTTTAAAACTGTTCACTTTGCTGCCACTTTCTCTTCAGTGTATTTATCATAAAACAAATCCTGTCACACTGCTTATATTGTCTAAAACCGCTCTGAACACTACAGTTTCAGTGTCCATATCCATAAAATAAAATCCCCCTTTACAGGATTACTGCAACCAAAAATTGAGTTGAGGGGAGAACATGGGCTCAATGCTGTCTGGGGCCAGCGTACTGGTGTCAGACCCTAAAATTGCACTAGATTCACATTTACCACCTGGAACTTTTGTTCCGAGCTGGCTGACTTCCCTATGACACAGTTGGAGGTGAAGTTACACGTCCAGCAGCAGAGGGGATAAATTCTGTATGTGCAGTGTTTCATAGAGAAACGTTTTGCATACAGATTTGCAAGCACGATGACCCCTTTGCTTGAGAAATACTATTCTGCATGTTTATAATTCACAAGAATTACAAGAAAACCAAAGGAGAAACATACCTACAGAACCATTTTTCTGAAAGAGATTTATAAAAACGTTCGTAAGAAACAACCTCTTAACTCTACCAGTTCTGCCATTGGCTTCTCTGCCTTTTCTTTTGTCATTATTTCCACCCTTCAGTTCAGGACTCTTCTATGCATCTCATATCTGGAATTTGTTACCCTTTTGTCTGTCAGCCCACCCTAGTTTTAAAGAGATGCTCAAAGCATCTTAAAAATCTTATCTGAAAAGACAACATGCGAGATTACCCCTGGTAGAAAAAGGATAGGGAACCATGGTCTAGTAAGATGACAGTGAATCAAGATGTTGGAAGTGATAGAAGGTAAAGATACGAACAGAAAAGGATGATTAGCCTGAGAGAAGATTCATTGGTGAGAAAGGTGGAAATCAAGCGAGGGAATGCAATGCAATTCCAAATCAGGTTGTAAATGCTTAAAGGGATACTATTGTCAACAGATGAAGCGGTTTTGGTGAATGGATCATGCTCTCTTTTATGCCATTTAGTTTAATCACTTTCATTTATGTCCATGCAGACTTAGTCTCACTTCACTGAAAGTCAAAGCCTACTTGAAAAAAGGGTCTTTTTTTATCTCCTGCTCCCTAAATCACATACAGGAGGCTCCTGCCAGGTGTAGCTATTAACACTGCAGTAGACGCCAAATTAAACAGAATTTGACATAAAGGAAGTTTAAACATTAGATCTCACTTTACAGGAAGTGTTCAGGAAGGTGTGACTAGGGCTGTATAAAGAAAGTAATTTAACTCCTAAATGACAGAATCACACAGGGGCATGATCTGGACAGCAAAACTACTTCATTAAGCTAAAGTTGTTTCGGTGACTATATAGTATCCTTTTAAAAGGATAATCTATTTTACTAATTATACTGACCAGCCACAACTTTAAGACCACCTGCCTAATATTGTGTCCCTCGTGATGCCAGAACAGCTCTGATGCGTCGAGGCATGGACTCCACAAGAACTCTAGATGAGTCCTGTGGTATTTGGCACCAAACATTAGGAGCAGATCCTTAAGTCCTGTGAGGTGTGACCTCCACGGATCGGATTTGTTATTCCAGCACACAACAGATTCTCAATCAGATTGAGATCTATGGAATTTGGCAACACCTCGAACTGTCGTGTACCTTAAGTGTTTTCAATATGACAGGTTGCATTATTCTGCTAAAAGAGGCCCAGGAAACACCGTTGCCATGAAGGGATGTACATAGTCTGCAACAATCTCTAGGTAGGTTCTACGTGTCAGTAGCAAATGAGGACTAAAAGTTTCCCATTAGATCACTGCCCAGAGTATGACAATGCCTCAGTTGGCCTGCCTTCTTCCCACAGTGCTTTAACATTTACCCAGCTTCTGTCAGAAGCCATAGTCATACTGGTATAATATACTCTGCTGGAGAATATGTTCACATCTCTATATTAGCATATCAATTATGGATATTCTAAATGGTCTAAGAGCCTCAGCTGACATGTTTCAGCCAAACAATAAAGTTCAATGTTGGTATGCCAGTACCAGAGGGTACCTGGCATTAAAACCCCTACAGTGTTAATGGGATACAAAGCTGTATTTCTGGCACTATGGCTCCCCCACAGCCACATCATCCTTGGTGAATAAATGGTTAAAAGTCCGTTATCTAAGCACCTTATCCTGCACCGATGTCACTTGGTACTGGGGTCAACACTTTGCCACTTCCAATGAGCAGGTGCTAATGTGCATGCGTGGCAAATGCTGCGCGCACATTAGAAAAAAATCTTATGCTGGTTGCCCTCATCCAGTGGATCCAGGAAGTCCTATAGTGTTACTTTAATATATGGAATTTTTAATTGCAAATCATTTGAATCTGCTTGTAATAATTGTACGATGTTGCCATAAGCTGGTCTGGTGTCTGATCCACCTTTACCATAAGTCTAAAATGACAACATGACTAAAACCTTTTGATGGTCTATTCACATTACCAATGATCTGTTGCAGAACTCCTAGGCCTGTTATTGTGGAACCAATGGAGCAGTTTGATGAGGAAGATGGCTTGCCAGAGAAATTCATGAACAAGACTCAACAGTATCTCAAGTATGTACTGTTTATTTTCAAAGTATATACATTTTTGTTGTTTTTAAATGTAAGAAACACTTCCCCTAAATGCTGTATGGGTAACTCAGTGAATTAGTCATGAATAAAACTTTTGGGAAAACCGTTCACCTTTAAGTAGTTATAAGGTATAAATTTATCTATACATGTTGCTACTTAAATCAATAGCAATCATATAAGTTATTTAAATTGCCTAAAGATCACTTCCTCCATGATAGAGAAGCTACAGGCACTAAGCACTGAGGCATATATGTATGGTGGCAATGAAGGAGACAATCTGTCTTGTCTGGGATTTGAATGTGAGGAAGTTTTACATTTTGTGGTAGTTGGTCATTTAGACAGGTATCTGGGCTGAATTCATGACACCGCTGTTGCTGGGGACTGGAGCTGGCATGTGATAGGTTGAAGGTCGCGAGCAGTAAAAGAGCAGGAAACTGGGACAGTATAAAAAGCAGCAGCACAAGTTGAATCTTGTCAATGTACCCTCCCTTTAATTTTATTTAATTGTATGGTTGTGGTGTTATGAAGCATTAAAGGGACACTCCAGGCACCCAGACCACTTCTGCCCATTGGTGTGGTCTGGGTGCCAACTCCCACTACCCTTAACCCTGCAACTGTAAATATTGCAGTTTTCATAAAGTGCAATATTTACATTGCAGGGTTGACTCCTTCTCTAGTGGCTGTCTACTAGACAGCCATTAGAGGGCAAGGTATGTGAGGACCTCCAGCATCGCTAAAATCCCCATAGGGAAGCATTGAAAGCATTTTCAATGCTTTCCTATGGGGAGGTCTAATGCGCGTGTGTGGCATTGCCACGCATGCGCAT